GAGAGAGAGAGAGAGAGAGAGAGAGAGAGAGAGAGAGAGAGAGAGAGAGAAAGAAATATCAATGTGAGAGAAACATCAATTGGTTGCCTCCCGCATGCCCTGACTGGGTATCGAACCACAACCTAGGCATGTGCCCTGACCTGGAATTGAACCTGCCACCTTTTGGGTGTATGTGACGGCATTCCAATCAACTGGGTCACAATGGCCAGGGCAGGATTCGTGCAAGGTTTTAATAAGGCTGTATAAACCAACTGTCTTCACAGGGAATTTCCAAGTTAAAGCTTTAGCCAACTTAAACTAAAGGTCATTACTTCATGTTTCCTTCTCATCTTTATCACTCAGATTCCACAAATAAAACTGACCCGCTGGAGCCTAGAACTAGATGGAAACTCTGGGCATATAGAGGAGCAGGCTACATAGTTCTTCTAGGTGCTATTAACAACAACAGGGCACCATATTGGCACCTGGCAAGCAAACCACAGAAACTATTTCCACCAGCCCCAGCATTCCTTCCAACAGGGGGTGATGCTTGTAGCTGCACTCTGATAGCTAAAATTCACACCTTCAGTTCCGTACTTAGTCAAATTGAGGGCCTTACTTGAAAAATAGATACCACATTTTTTCCCCCCATTCTAAGCTAAAGGGCTACAATATGCTTAGGCTCTTTTAAATGTTGTTTTTTTCTCTCTCTTTATTGGCTTGAAGTAAACTCAAAAGAAAACTCCCTATCCAAATAAAAACTAGTGTCCTTTAAAACAGCGGTCGCCAACCTTTCGAACCTCCCAGACCACCGATTGGTGACCACTGCTTTAAAATGCAAGGATTCTGCCCTAGCCAGTTTGGCTTAGTGGTAATCAGGGGTCCTCAAACTTTTTAAACAGGGGGCCAGTTCACTGTCCCTCAGACCGTTGGAGGGCTGGACTATAGTTAAAAAAAAAAAACCCCACTACGAACAAATTCCTATGCACACTGCACATATCTTATTTTGAAGTAAAAAAACAGAACGAGAACAAATACAATATTTGTATTTGCATGTGGCCCGCGGGCCATAGTTTGAAGACCCCTGGGTAAGATAGTCGGCCCTTGGACTGAAGGGTCATGGGTTCCATTCCAATCAAGGGCACATACCTGGGTTGTAGGCTCGATCCTCGGCCCTGGGAAGGGGCATGTGCGGGAGGCAACCAATCACTGTGTCTCTCTTACATCGATGTTTCTCTGTCTCTCTTCCCCTTTCCACTCTCTCTAAAAATCAATGGAAAAAAATCCTTGGATGAGGATTAACAATAACAAAAAATTACAAGGTTTCAGGCACACTCTGGTGATTAAGAGATCATACTTCTGCTTATTTGTAGGCTGGTAATGAAAACATCTGTTGAGACTTCACTGTACAAGGCAGAAAAGAATGGACATTGTCCAAACTGGAAGGTTTCAAATACCTTCCGTCACTGGGCAGCTCACCGTTGTCCTTCAGCCAGATGACAGTAGGGATCAAGGTGTGATCGTGTTTCACTTTGCATTCAAAGGACACTGTGCTCCCTCTTTGCACAACTGCATATTTGGGCTGTTTAATGATCCTTGTTGGATCTAAAATTTAAAGTTATTGTTATCGATTGCCCAAGCTGGGGAATTTGCTCACAGTCACATAATTCTTGAAAAAAAAATTTGTCACCTCTGCCTCACCTTTGATTTCTAAGCGAACTTCATTCTTTGCCATTCCTAACTTATTCCTTGCAACACATGTATAAGTTCCTGTGCTGTCCTTTTGGGCCACAGGAATTTCCAAAGTTCCATTTTCATGTAAAACGTAAGTGTCTTCACGAAGAGCACTACCTTTAGTTCCTTTGAACCTTCATGGAAATAATCACAATAAGCAAAACCCATCACAATCTGAAGTCAGACATAAAATGCCACATTCAAGGTCAATACATCACGATACGCATTATAGATTCAAGTTCAGAGATGTTTGGAATCTGCACAGCATATTGCAAACCTGCACGTCAGCGGGATCAATGTAAAGACAGGATGTAAAACTGGAGAATTCAATGATCAGTGGTGCTTGAAGAATTAGGGTGAGAATACAAGATCCTTAAATGGTAATCTTCAAAAGGATAGACTTACAATTTTATAAACACGTTATTATAGACTCTGTCTCTAAATAAGTGATAAAATAGGCCCAATGAACACTGCTCTTTTTGACATTTCCCTCCTATTGTGAAGTATTGTAACTTCATTCTAAAGAGATTTTGATTTCAAGGCTATAAGGTTTGTACTTCTGAAAGTATGACTAGAAAAATATTCAGGGTAGAAAAAAGACAAAGCATATATATGTACCTTTCAGCTTCCTGGCTCGTGTCAGACAGAAGGAAGGGTGGATGAAAAGGCTAAATCAGCCAGGACTAAGTGTGAACCTGCCCCCTTCCCTAGGAAATCGTGTGCACAAGCGTCCATGCCTCTGTGGTTGAAGTGGGGACACGGTGAGATTACCCTTTAATCCTCCACCTGGCTTTCATTTCACATCAGCAGGAGGAGCCCAACACATGTCTGGCATCTCACAGATGACCAGTAAATGAATGCTCCAATTTTCTTTCACTCATTCTTTCCGAGCTGTGCTTATGCAGGCCTTGTTTCTTTTAGCTCGTGCTACAGTGAGCTAGCTAGGTGATGAGCAGAACTTGTGTCAGGAGTGTTATAGGGAAGAGGAAGGTCTAAAGTGGGAGGGAAAGGGACACAGTAGAGCTTGGCTGGATCCAAGTCAGGAAATTCAGGTGGGGGAGGGAATAAAGGTAAACACTAGTAATAACAAATTCTGATTTTGAGCTTATAGAATCTCTTTCCCACCCCAAATGATATTTGATTTTCAAGGAATGTCCCCCAACCAATGCTTCTAGCCGCCACCATTCATGAAGTCCCAGGTAATGTCCATGGCACTGTAAAATGCAACACCCTTAAATTTTATAAAAATCATTTACATATATCTCTGTGGTTGACAATGCGTGCTGTTAAACAGATTAGACATGTGAAAGTATTTAGTACAGAACAAGTAGTTAATAAATATTTGTGCATACATTTAATAATTAATAATATGATGGATTCTGCACTGCCTTTCCCCTATATGTTCTCTGACTAAAACCCAACATATTGAGAAATTTGAAGGTGTTAGCAAATGGAAACATTAAAAAGAAATAGGACCAATACTTACCACTCAATGGTAGGCAGAGGAGACCCAAAGAAGGCACAGTCTAGTAGAGCGGGCCTGTTTGCAATGACCTGATAGAGTGTGTTTTCAGATGTAAGGATGCGTGGTGGCTCAGCTAGAAACGTTTAGAAAAGGTAAAGTAAATATAAAATAGACATCCAGAGCCACCATCTATTTTATTGCATTTTGTCTTAAGGCCATTAGAGTTTATGGAAAAGCACAACCAATATGCCTCTGCCCATATGTTCTCTAGCAGGCATAACACTACCAGACACTCAAGGAGGAAAAATAAGTCTTCTCCCCCTGCCTCATGCCCCACATATTACCAGGCATAGGGTTTGAATAATTGATTTATTTATCTATATCTTCTACTCCACTGTGAGTCCCTTGAAGGCAGGGAATGTGCTAGTTTTCCCCAGGAACTAGCACAGTGTCTGGCACAAAAATCATGACTAAGTACATTTTTGTTGAGTGGCTGGACCA